AATCACGTTTCAATTACGCAAATTAGATTCTAATAAGTCCCGCTTCTGGATAAGATCCAAAAGCTCGGGCGAGAGAGACGGCGGCCCGAGAGGTAATTGGACGAACGGCCGGGAAGAGGAATAAGAGAGAAGACGCGGTGCCGTCACGGCAGTCATTACTGCATAATACAACAACCGTGCGCCTCGCGGTTGGCTGCACTTCTTTTACCATCGGGCATTACCGGAGGAACTCTCCGCGTGCAGCGAGCGCGCGCGTTACGTCTATCGAGAGAATGCCTTTTTCCTCTCCTTCTACATCGCCACCACGATAAATTCACGCCGCCGCCGCCGCCGCCGTCACTGTGACTCGTTGTGTATACACTACCTATAACGATTAAACGATATTTACGTCGGATCACACACGAGGTCTGAAACGGCTATAAACTTCGATTGGAGAACCTGAGGCTCGATAAGCTGGTAGATACTGGGTGGCTACTGGCCAATGTACAGGCAAATGTAATTATTCCAACAGCCGCTCCTTTCTTTCCTTCGCCTTTTCATTCCGCTTCCTGCATTGCAAATGAATTAGGCGTTACAGAATATATCCCTAGAATGGAAATGTACAACACACTTTGGTTCTCTCTGTCGTGGATGAGAAAAATATAAATGAAGGATTATCGGTGGTCGTGGATAGAAAAGCACTTGCAGAACTGCCGAACCTGTACATAGAAAACGCTAGCTGGAGATCGACGGATAGATCGTCTAATTACGCCTTTACGTAACATTTTCTTCGCGCACAGAGAGAGAGAGAGAGAGGAATAATTAAGGTGCGCGATTAAATAACGATTAACGAGAGTTGCATGTGCTCGTAAAAGAAACGTCAAGGATGCATTATCTTGGAATTGTTCGATACCTATCGACGAGTTTTACGACTTTCACGATGCTATCTGAAGCGGAGCTCGTCGCCGCGCGACGTCCATTCGAGTTTCACACGGGTGGAATCGCGAAACGTCCAAGAGTGAGCACTGTGCAACGTAAACGGAAACGATTTCCCTCGAAGAAATTCCCCTTGATACCGCTTTCCTATCTATCCTTCTTTTTCTTCTTCGCACTTCGTTCAATTTCAAGGTGTAAAATTCAAACCGAAGATTATTATTCTTCGAGAGTAGAAAAATCGAAGGGGATTCTCCGAAACGTAGTTCCTGGTATTCCGAAAAACCGACCTGCCTTGTGGTCCGTTCTCACGATTTTTAGCGGCCGGTAGGATTCGCAGGTGAAACAGAAATAGACGGGGTTCGTTTCGAATGGTAAACTCAGGTAAGTCTCTGTGAAAGAAGACGCACGCACGCACGCACGCACGCACGCACGCACGAGAAGGGCGACAGGAGAAATTCTCAAGTTTTTTCCATCTTCTCTGCGAGCGAACGTTCCTCTGGCGGTTGGCAAATAAGAAAAGGAAAAGGAAGAGAGAGAGAGGAGAAGATAGAAATACTTGGAAACGAAAGGAAGAACAATGCCCGGTGAACGGGGAACGCGAATGAAAGCCCTCCTTGAATCGGCTTTCAGACGAGCGCGTTGAAGAGAGGCGAGACGATGAATATTTACAAAAGCACAGGTATGTAACTGAATGAACGAGACGAGAATATACCCCCGCCGCCTTCTGTAAGATATATCACCGTTATCGGGCGGGAAGGAAGCGTTATCGATTATCGCCTGGGTATATATCTCGACGTGACATCAGCCGTTCGATCAACGAAATCGTAATCAGACATCAAAGCAAACGAGGAGGAAAGTGTAACGCGGTCGATCGATCAAGAAAACACGTGAACTCATCAGAGAGAGACGAAAGATGTCGGTCATCGTGACTGAACAGAAAACAATATTCTCCAAGGCGATGTACTGTACTATTTGAAAAATTGTCAAAGATAAGAAATGAGAGAGAGAGACGTGCGAGCCGGCGAAAGACAGGTGGGTGGAAGGAGGTGACAAAGCACACGGGGAGCGTTTCCCACGACAGGTGACACGTGGGAATCCTAGTCACGGCGCAGGTGGATCAGGTTAAACGAGCGAGATGGAAGAGGAAAGGGGGAAGGGACTGTGTGCGGAGAGGTATCGGGTAGGCGGCACGGGATCGACGAGGAAAGCAAGACCAGAGGAGAAAGATGAGAGAGAACGGAATGGCGGGGACCAAAGGGGGGGGGGGGGGGGGGGGGAGAGAAAAGGAGGAACGAAGAAACAACGATGAGTAAGTCGAGGTGGCGATAAAGACAGTAACGGCCTTGAGGTATGTGGGACCTCGACACGGCGAAAATGTTGAGCAGACGTCACGCAACGGCGTGGATTGCTCCGATCTGAGGTTGATCTAAGGGAACGATCGGGTTTTCGGATAGCAGCACGTCGCAGTAGGATCCGTCCATTAGGAGATACGGTTAATAGCGACGAATAAGAGGGGTTGCAAAGGTAATTACTGCAAAGGTAGGTTTCGATGTTTTGAGAAAATGTGAGGTCCGTGTTGAGCTAGGTGTGTCTTCCTTTCCTATCTTCTCGTTCGGATAATGCCTTAAGAGGATCGGCGAACGTGAAACTTGCGTTTATCGAGGAAACCTTAAGAGCGTTCGTGGACGAGGATTCCGTTCATCCTAACTGTTGGGGTCGTGAACGATTCCGTGGACATCGAATGATTCCAAGTAGTCGGTGTAGTTTGGTTATCGGCTTGAAATCGGGATAAAGCATTAGCGGTAAAGGGACAGAGAGATAGAAGAGGAGGGGGGTTAAAAGAAAATGCGTACAACTAGAATAGAATAAGAGAAGAGAGAAGACTCACTTGAGGAAGTAGATCTGTCCCTCGGGGGTGCGCGCCTGTTCCCATCCATGCGGCAGGGGACCCAGGTCGTCGACCGTACTGATGACGTCGTAGCTGCGTTGCTTCTGGTGATGGTGGTGACGCGCGTGCGGCTGGGGCGCGTGCTGAGGCGCCTGCTGGGCCGAGGCGTACGTTTGTTGAAGCGAAGCCGGGCTGCTGTGGGCGCGAGGATGAGCGA